GGTCTTCCTGCCTCTGCCTCGCTATGCTGCTGCTGCTGTGTTCACTTGCTATTGCTGCGTTCATGTTCATGCTTCCACCCCCAGCTCCACCGCAGTACCACCCCAGCTTCCACAGCTTCCACCCCACCACCACCCCAGCTTCCACCCCAGCTTCCACCCCAGTTTCCACCCCAGCTTCCACCCAAGCTTCCACCCCAGCTTCCACCCCAGCTTCCATCCCAGCTTCCACCCCACCACCACCACCCAAGCTTCCACCTCAGCTTCCACCCCAGCTTCCACACCAGCTTCCACCCCAGCTTCCACACCAGCTTCCACCCCAGCTTCCATCCCAGCTTCCACCCCAGCTTCCACACCAGCTTCCACCTCAGCTTCCGTCCCAGCTTCCACCCCAGCTTCCATCTTCAACTGAAAATTTAATTTAGCTGCATTGGAACAGTTTAGCAGATAGGGACATTCATCTGGCCATAAAGCCACCTTTGATTGAAACTACTATGTCCACACCCTTATTTTGACAAGGTCTAAGAGCAATTTTCTCAGCTATTAAGCTATAATTCTGGTGTTCAGCCCTAATTAAGATGCAAAAATGTGTCTTTATGTAAAATAATATCCATATTGGTCCATACAACGCTGCTTTCAAGGATCACCCACACTGTACATGATGTGATTCATACCTGCATTTGTTGGAAGGTACAACCAAACAAGGCTGTGTGTGTTTCATTGATCTGAATACGCTCCTAGCACTCAGTTCATTTAAGAATATACACAAGAGCAGAGCGCCATCTTGTGGTATACATAAATATATTTCTGTTTAGCCACTTTACAGGATCATCTTAACTTATTTTAGACTTTTTTATTCAGGAAGAAGTAATACAAGACAATCCTTTTTCCACACTACATTTTATTCAACAGTTTAAAAATAGATTTAAAAATGAAATCAGCATATACATGAAGACACCATGGTGTACAATATATTAACGGTGTCATTCGATATCAAGAAATCCGACACACAGACACACATTTTAGGGACATTTTGAAAAATATATTGAATATCAGTCAGTGCTCTATGGCTGTTTATGTGTGAAAGCTTGATTGAACTGCAATGCCTTCTGGGAAATTGAGTTCTTTAAAGAGAATAAAAGATGTATGGAGTGGTATTAGATATTCCTGTCCTTTTATGGCTTTCATAAGTAGCTTAATAACCAACTTTGAATGCAGTTCATCATGCAA